AAACATTGGACCAGGCTGCCCAGGGCAGTGGTTGAGTCCCCATCCCTGGAGGTATTTAAAAGACGTGTAGATGAGGCGCTGAGGGACATGGTTTAGTGGACATGGTGGTGTTGGGTTGACGGTTGGACTCGATGATCTTAGAGGTCTTTTCCAACCTTAATGATTCTATGATTCTTTCAGTCTCAGGGAAATGTATATTGGGGGGGTGACGGGGAAATTCTTTTTAAACGTGGTCTAGACGGGAGAAATAAAAGTGCAGGTTTGTAGCCTGCGTCTTACTGGCGTGGTGCGAGAGGTGGCATCGCTGCCAGGAGCTGCTGGCTTGCCTGTTTGCTCGTTGCGTTGTGGAGTCTTGGACGTGCGTAAAATACGCCGCTTGCCTGGCAAGCGCTCCGGGAACGCACCCTGATCCCCCTGCGGGTGGCAGATCCCTCCCTGGCACCGTGACCTCTCCGGGAAGCGTGCTGGTCCCCCGACACAAACGCACGCGCAGCAGTTCCACCGTCGGTGTGAGGGAACCGGGAAGGGCAGGAATTTCCCACGTGTGTCTGGTTCGTCTGGCCGGGCTGGCAGATCAGTGGTGACGACTTTCATCCGTATCCCGTAAGACGAAGCGTCCCGCTGTTGTTCGGCAGCAGTAAAATTTCTGCTCCCTGCCGTGTTTGGGCTGGCAGGCTGCTGCCTTCCGCCCTAGAATAACCCAGCGCTCACGTCTCTCTCTCTTTTCCATTTGAAACACTAAAGCTGATAAGCGCTAGAGCCGTGGAAACGCTTCCTTTGTGCCCTGAGCACAGATTTAGTCACTGATGGCGTCGCTTGCGCTTGCCGTCTGCCTCTTAAGACTTCTGGTTTTGCCTTTGTCCCCTCTGGCCAGCGGCCTTGCTTCGGCCAGTGGCGTTTTAGTGCCAGTTTAGTGCAGGAGACTTATTTATCCTGGCCTGCTGCATTCCACCCTCTGTTCAGAGCAGCCGCTGGTGCTTGAAAATGACTCCTTAACACCTGACATTTCTTATCTCTGCCCTTCCTGAACTGATAACGCTGTGTCAACACGTGTGACGGGTCAGCGTGTGACTCGGGGCCAGCGGCAGGAGGGGGGGGGGGGGAGGAGGTCGATTGTGGCTGCGCTGCGTGGGCAGCTGCTTTGCTGAAGTAGGGCAGTAAATCCTTCCTCTTCTCCCACACGCTCAGGTCTTAACCAAGAAGAAATTGCAGGACCTGGTGCGCGAGGTGGATCCGAACGAGCAGCTGGATGAAGATGTGGAGGAAGTAGGTACCAACCCGCGGCAGGGGCTGCAGAAAGAGCTCATCTAGGCTTTTTCACGCACCGGCGGCCCTTTTTCCAAGGCAGGGAGGGCTGGTTGACGTAACACCGCCGTAGTCTCATGTTCGCGGCAGCCTTCAGCCATCCGTGTCTGTTTCTGCGTCCCGGTGTCGAGAGGGGTTTTAAAACGGCAATTGTAGCAAACGCCTTTGAAATACTAGCTTCTGCGGGTTCGTTTTCATACTTTCCGCATCGTTTCGGCTGCTCGGTGCTGACAGGGCTGGTTGTCGTCCTTGTTCTGCCGCAGATGCTGTTGCAGATCGCCGATGATTTCATAGAGAGCGTGGTGACGGCTGCCTGCCAGCTTGCGCGGCATCGCAAGTCGAACACCCTGGAGGTGAAAGACGTCCAGTTGCATCTTGGTGAGTGATTTATTTTTATTTTTATTTTTTTTTTTTCCCCCCTCAGCTGTGAGCTGGGCGCACGCCCTGAAGTCAGGGCATGGCCGCGGTGTTGGGGTGGAAACCTGTGAGTAGCTGCTTAATAATGCCTTAATAATCAGGGGATGAACGGGGTGTCTGCCCCTAACCATCCCCTCTCCAAATTTTGCAGTTGTGCAGCTTGTAGCTGTCCATCAGCCCGTGTTGGAAGGTCCCTAGCACAGGGTCTGCGTCTTTACCGTGTTTAATGCTGTGCAGCCCTCCGCTACTCTGCTTTTGTGAAGCTTTTATAGCTGGTGTGCGGATCACCGGCACGTCTCTAGCACTGGCTCCAGGCGGGCGTGCTGCCGGTATGTTCGTGATGACGAGGCCGCTCTTGCGGTGGGCGGTTGGGGCAGAGCGCGCTGACCTGCGCTCTCTCTTCCAGAGCGTCAGTGGAACATGTGGATCCCGGGCTTTGGTTCTGAAGAAATCAGGCCCTACAAAAAAGCCTGCACTACAGAAGCTCACAAACAGGTAAGGAGCCCTCAGCAGCACCAGGAATCGCGTGGTAGAAGCCTGATATGGGGAGGGTGGTCTTGGACTCCTGGCACGACGTTGAATTTGTAGCCTCTTCCAAGTGGTTTGGACTTGAAATAACCTGCGGAGTCTCCTCGCCTGTTTGTGCAGAGAGGATTGAGGTTGCTCTGTGGTGGTGCAGTGCTGGCTGTGCCCTAAGAGGAGCAGCAGTACTCGCTGTCCGAAGGGTTTTTTAACCCTGGAAGGGGTTAAAAGAACCTTTTAAAACCTTTTTAACCCTGGAAGGGGTTAAAAAAAACCAGCCGAGAGCTGCAGACAGTGACTTGTCAGCTGCCCCCTTGCAGATCGCCTGCTCCCTCCTTGCGCAGAAGGGACTGAGAACACACTGCGAACTCCTCCGGTTCGGTAGGAAATCCGTCCCCAGGCATGGGGGGGGTTAAATGCTGGCGTAGCCCCTCGAACCGCTCCGGGAGTCTGGGTGTTGCAGGTGAACCGCAGGGCTCTGACAGGCTGCGGCTCGAGTTCCTGGGGCCATTTTACGTCTGCAGCCCAACGCTGCACTCGGGTATTTTGTGAGCAGCGTACGGCACCTCCTGCGTCTCTGCGTGAGGGTCGGGGCTCTGGGCCGCTCGCCACCGTAAGAATTTAAAGAGCTGCCAAAAGCCGAAAGGCCTGGGGAGGTGCAGCAGAGAGCACACCGTTGTCCTGGGATTTAGCTGTAGGTGGGAGCTGAGCAGCTCTGGGGGTTTTTTTTCCCCTTAATTTTGCTTTAACTGAATCGGGCCATCGCCGTTTCAGTGTACGGTCGGAGCCGGGGAAGGAGCTGCCCTGCGGGAGCCGTTGGAGTTCGTGGATGATGTTGCATCTCCCCTCCTGAAGCTCCCGCAGCAGCTGCGGCAGGGGGAGAGAGAGGGGAGGCCTTGAAGTGGGGTTTGATCCCCTGCGCCGTTTAATCCCGTTGCCCCTCACTAGCGTCGGCGTTTCACGTGCCACCCGCAGCAGCTGCTGGGGGGTGAGAGAGAGAGAGAGAGGGGAGGCCTTGAAGTGGGGTTTGATCCCCTGCGCCGTTTAATCCCGTTGCCCCTCACTAGCGTCGGCGTTTCACGTGCCAGCCCCGGGTGCGGAGGAGAGGAGCGCAGAGGCTTTCTCTTCCTCTGGCTCCGGCTTGGGACCCCATTAAGATTCAAACGGACTTGAAAGACCTGTGCGGAAACAAGTCAGGCGGTGTCCTGAGAGAACCCGAGACACCTTCTTCCTGCACGGCTGCAGGTTGTTTCGCGGTAACCTTGTCTGAGCCGCTCGGCTTCCCACGTTTTTCTCTTTCTTGTTACAGAGAATGGCACTGATTCGCAAAACTACCAAGAAATAGCCCCTGGGAAGAGCCGGGAGAAGACGCCAGTGCATTTTGGGATATCTGCCTCTCCACTGAAGCCTCCGCGATGCCATCCATGGGATATTTTTTTTAATGCTTTACAGAGAAGCATATATTTTTTATTAACGGTGCAGCAATATCTTGACTTTATGAGGAGATCTGCCAAAAACATTCTACGCCCCCTTCCTCATTCCCCCTAAGAGCGCAACGTATCTCAAAACAAAGACTTTTATTTGTGACTTGAAAGTGGTTTATCGTATAAGTGATTATCCAAGGGACAGAGCATTTGATCTTGTGTGGGACAGTATTAGAAGCATCTGTAGAGGTTTTTGTTTCCTCCTTCCTGCCCCTACCTGCTCCAGTACTTTGTAATGTCAGTGTTTATATAAATACTTGCGTTTGTTTTACATGAATAAAGAAATTATTAAGCTAAAACCACGGCACGGTCTTGTGCTCTTCGAAGGGCGTGCAGAGGAACTGCAAGTGAAACGGGCAGCCTCCGCCTTGCCTGGTTTCTACGTGTGGTGCTGTTCTGGCAAGAGATCCCCTGCCCTGGGGTTTAAAGTGAGTGGAAGGATTTGGCCGGCCTCTGCCGTGCTGATGGGGCTCGGCAGGTGCCTTCCCCTCTTTACGTCCGGCCCAGGGTGAGTAGTTTGCCCGTTGCTTGGATATTTGGACCGTTAGGAGTGGGGACACGGTGACCGAGGACAAGAAATCGGGGTGATCCTCGTTCTCTCCTCGCCCGGGACGCGAAGGAAGGCCGCGTCCCCCTGCCTGTTCCTGCCTGCTCTGCTCGGTCTTCATCGGAGAAGCCGCGGGTGCCGTTTGTCGTGGTGAAGGGGGAGCCGGCAGCTCTGCAAACCTCCCCCCACCCCGACAGGGAGGCTCCTGAGCACCCGGGAGCAGGAGCAGGGCCCGTCCTCCTCACCCAGCTGGCTGCTGGGGCCCTCGGCCTGCCGGTACGGTACCTACAGGGGAAACCGCCTTCGCTGAAGTAATTCAGAAACCGGTACGGGCTCTCTCCTCCTCTGGTGTAGCTGCCAGCTAAGGAGCTCGGGGAGCGTGATAAACGCACGCGGCCTCTCAGGCGAGGCCAGCCTGACGGGCGCCTGGGGCGGAGGGAAGCTGTTCCTGCACCGCAGCCGTGCTCGGCTGCCGCCCGGGGAGGGGGGGGACGGGACGTGGAGTCGTTCACCGGCTG